TTGTATGACACGTTTAATAGATTTAAATGGATAAAATAGTCACAATGAAAAGCACTGTATGGAGTTCTTTGTTATTCTATTGACGCAAAACATTACCAGCAGTCTTTTAATATGAGCATGCAACCTGTCTGTACAGGGAATGAAATTAATTTTCCCATGATGCTTTGTATGCATATGTACATGTATAATGTTCCTATAAAATAACAATTTTGTGTTTTTATTTTAATCTTAATATTTTTATTCAAGTGATAGCAATTCTGAGGGAAATTAGAAAATTGCACCCAGGGTTGGCTGAATTGGATTTTATTTTTTTTGTCCAATATTTACTTGAAATTGCACTTTCAGAGATCATTGTACATGTACATGTATGTGATTTATTTGATTGTGTGAATTTGTGTGAACGTTTAATTCTCCAGGATTTTCAGCATGTTTTTACTGATCCATGTTTTTACTGATCTGGCTTCCTGTTCTGTTGTTTGTTCAAATTATAATTGTAAAGCTTTTGAATAAAGTTACATTGTGCACAGCTTGCGGTAATTTTTTTCTCAATTTGCCCACTTTTATATCATCTAATAGGATGCAGAATAGTCCCATAATACCAATAAAACTTAATGAGTAAGTGCAATTTTAAGATAATTGGAAGCGCATCTCCAATAGAAGTACCGGTACACACATTTACTAAATACTAAATCACCAAAATGACCAAAATCATATATAAAGTGTGTGTACAACTTGTACAACCTGTTGCATGTCGGGACACTTTTTTCACCATGATCTGGATTTTGTTTCTTTTTATAATTTATTACATGATTATATAATCCTGTGATATTTTCGCTTTGACGTCAGCAGCCACGAGTGTTATCCATCATCGTGTACGGCTCATATTGATTCATAATTCGAGAGGCAACCATAGGATGTTCAAACTAAGTAGAAAACATTGATCACAGATGTATATGTTTTTACATTGCAAACAAAATGACTGTTGAATATGTAACTGATATATTAACACTGAAAGAAATAATACATAAAAAAATCACTTCTTACTACTTGTATGCTAATTTTGTTCCTGAGTTCATGTGTATTCTATTTATTCCTGATATGTGTGAAATTCACCAAGATATTTAAATATCAACTGACTTTCTGAGTGATTGAATAATAATGCTGAATATAACCCCATTATATAATTTGCGTATTAATGTGCTCTGTGTTCATCATGTTTCGTAATTATCAATTCATCTAGAGACCTAGAAATAAAATAAAAAACTTTCAGGAGCATTTATCATTTGTCATGTAGTGTATATTACGCTACAGTGTTGCGATATGTTATGAACATGTATGTTTTATATCAACCCACTGCTTTTTATGTACATTAGATCTATTCTAACTCCATGGTGATTGTTTTGTTATTTTATTTGCGTCGCTATGAATTCATGTGCTGTAGAAATCAATCAATGATCTCAATCATTATCATTTACCATATTTCCGGTAGTAGCGCTTACTCTTTAACTAAGATGAGGTGTATCTATGATCATAATAAGTCTTATTTAAATAAACAAGTATACAATAAATGCAATTTTTGGTGTATTCTATTTTATGGTATACCGTATTTGCTCTATTAGTAGTGCATGCGTTTAAAGATAATTACAGAGGTGGTCAAAATAAGTCGTGTTTCAATGATCAGGTATACAACTAATGAAATATTTGGTTTATACGCACTTTGATTGGAGATGCGTTTGTAATAGAACAAATATGGTATATTAAATAACATTGGAATTGAGTAAAATTGATTAGGTCAACTGATTGCGACATTAAATATGTGTTTTTTCTCTTTTAGAATGTTAAGACACAACTAATCAGCCGTCTTTCCTGGCATATGGTCTACAGTGACTTTAATAACCAATTTTGTATATTATTGATGATCAATATTTTTATGTGCAGTATATACACATCTGTTGGGTATCATTATATCATCCAATTTTACTATTCATTTTTTTTTATTACAATGTTGTTCATTGAACCCAGATAAACTATGAAATTGAATGCATAAAAATGTGATTTTTGAACCTAAAAGTAAACAGGTCCCATCATTATCTCAAACATTTTCCCCCCCACCCCTCACTGAAACTTAATTGATAAATATTGATCATGGTGTCTTACCTACTAACGCCCAAAAAACCCAGCCACCAAACCCTCAGCTGTTCAAGAGAAAATAATGAAGGGGAATATACACATACGCAAACTACTTTTCTGGGTTCTGTGCATGTTCTAGGTCCATGCCCTGAAATTGACCTAATTTGACGCACATATTTACACTCGGACCAAACCATTTTCTTGTTTTTTTTTCATTTTCTGTTATTTTTGTCCATGATTGGATATAAAAAAACGAACTAGACTTCGTTAAAAAATAAAATCATTTTTGTGGGATGGAAACTTGTTGAAGTCAAAACCCCCCACCCCCAAACTAAAGCAAATAAGTTTTTTATCCGACATCGATCTTTTGACGTCGTCCCTTATCGATAAAAGAACATTAATGTCATAATCTTGAAAATTATCTCCTACATCCCCTATTTTTCAAAAACAAGGTTAAATTTTGGTTGCATAGCAACTGCTTTCTAATAATTTATTAAACAAGTCGCAAATATATGCTGTCTTGCATAGTCATGACATGTGTACAATCCCAGAATCACCCACATAAAATCAACTATAGCCTAGAATATATAACAACATTCCTCACTACATCAATAGCTTTTTAGCTCCGCTGTTGAATTTGTCGAGCGGAGCTTATCATATGACTGATTGTCCATCATTGTCGTCGTCGTTGGTGTCAACATTTTACGACAAGTCCATTTGCTTTGATATTACACATACATGTAAAGGTACCTCAGGTAGACCTCTCTCAGGTTTGTTCATTTCGTGATGATGTATTCAATTGAAATTCAAATTGAAATGTACATTGCTAACAGCAGAGGTATCTCAGCCAAGAGGCTGCATGTTAAATGTATGCAGCCTTCACACAATATGAGACGTCTAGGAGAAATACAACAATCTTTTACTGTACTGGCCAGTTAAATTGATGCGCACGATAATTGACAAAGCTTGCATTTATTTTTAAAGCAACCAATCAATTCATGGCATTTTTTGAGTGAGGTATTGTGAGTGCAATACAACATTGATTCTGAGCAAACATGAAAAATTATTTGTGACTTCAAAACTGTATTGTTCAACCTAAACTGCTTCACGATTATTTTGCTTAAAATATTAAAGGGAAAACATACAAAAGTGTAAAATTGAAACATTGCTTTTCTCTAATGAAGTGAATGGAAAGTCATAGTAATGTGCAATGTGTCTTCGTTGTCATCGTTGTCATCGTTAGTCAGAAGTGTATTCCTGGTAGTTCAAAATTAATTGAAATTTTGAAATTTATTTTTGAAGATATAAATGTCATCAATATACATGTTTTAATATTTTTTTAAAATAAAAATAAAATAAAATGGCTAACATAAGAAATAGTGCAGTGATGGTGAAAAAAATGAAAGAGTTGTGTCCCTTGCAAAGTTTGAGTTTCTATTAATATTCATGAGCTGCAATATGCAGAGACAGCAGAATGATTTTTGTAATCTATTCAATCTAGTTTAAACAACATCAAACATGTTTTGTCATATTTTCATGATTATTCTTTCAAAAAAAATAACCAATTTGGTCGAAACAAATCCATATTCGCCATTTTCATGTTAGATAGACTCTATTCACAATACAATTCACACCATTTCCAAAGGAAAATAATTTAAAAACTCGGCAAAGTCTGAGATGCGTGTATGTTGTTACTCTAGTCTCTTTAAATACCATGTCTTCACTATACTTTTGCAGATTCTATTCAGCGAGTTCATATTTTTAAAGTGCGCCCTCTATGGCAATTTGACGTCCTGCCACATTGCTTTATATTATATGCGTTATGGCAGGTCAACTGATTGGCCGCATGTTTTAGATGCACTTACTATGCAGATCTGTGTAATTCATCAAGGTCCCATATGGGACTTCTAGGTAGAATCACACACAGGTTTGTGGAGGTTGAAGAAGTGGTATATTTGACAAACTGCTATCGACATTGTGTATTTCAATTTGAAATGTGGTTGCGAAATTTGTTTTCAGTGGATTTCTTCAAATACATGACACACTAATAAATGGCTACTCATCTATGAGCTGTATACATGTATTTCAATTTTGAACTCTGTTTTATTGACATTTTATGATTTTACATGTATACTCTTTTTATGTACACGTTTTCCCGTGTTTTGGTTGTCTTAACAACCAAGCTATACATGATTTCTGAGTGTTACTCATACATGTATCCATTTATAACTGATATATAAATCATCATCTTCACAGTTCAAGGTATTCAGAGCTTATTCTAGGAAAACTTGGGGACGCAATCTCCTTTAGTATTTAGATAACCCACTGGCTATGTAATGTAATTCATTATGTATCATAGATTTAAAGGAGAAAGCATGTGAGGACCTTGTGGGTTATACTGATGTCAAAATGGCTGCCAGAACCTTTCATCTCATACTGATGACAAAATGGCTACCAGAACCTTTCATCTCATACTGATGTCAAAATGGCTGCCAGGACCTTGCATCTCATTCTGATGACAAAATGGCTGCCAGGAATTTGCAATCTCATACTGATGAAAAAATGGCTGCCAGGACCTTTCATCTCATACTGATGACAAAATGGCTGCCTGGACCTTGCATCTCATACTGATGACAAAATGTCTGCCAGGACCTTGCATCTCATACTGATGTCAAAATGGCTGCCAGGACCTTGCATCTCATTCTGTGATGTGGTTGCTAGTGTCATCAATAATGATAACATTTGCCATGTGTCAGTGGTTGTTAGAGAGTATTTATCAATAAAATTACTCAACGGAACTGAACCTTATGTACAACAGGTTTCAATGTAACATGCAGTCATGTTTTTTTATTCCTCTTTATGTATTTCAGGATGCTGACATTTTAGCTCTCAGTTTCCCCAGTCATACGCAGGTTGCCTATATTTTGAGTCTCGGTGTCGTGGAACGATACAGAAGACAAGGCATTGGTAAGTATAAAACTCTTCAATATAATAACACTGACTGAACTGTGTGTCTTTATTTTGTTTCACCATTATATCAAACTGCCTTTAAAATGAGCTTCAGTATGTACCGGTAGGTGCAATACGCATGATTTTTGGAAAAATCTGAGCATTTTAACCGTTTCATAGTCACCTTTTGCCACCCTTCACAATATATACTCGCATAACTTTTTAGCTCCGCTGTCGACTTTGTCGAGCGGAGCTTATAATACGAGTGATTGTCCGTCGTCGTTGTCGTGATATTTTTGACTTCTTGTTAAAATCCGCAGGTCTGATTGCTTTGATATTACGAATATAGGTACTACATGTGGATCTTTCTCAGATTTGTTCCTTTTGTGATGATATCTTTAATTCTCTAATTTTGGTGAATATTTTTGTCATTTTTGGTAAAAAGTGATATTTTCGACTTCTTGTTAAAAACCGCAAGTCCGATTGCTTTGATATTTAATATAAAGGTACTACATGTGGAACTCTCTCAGATTTGTTCATTTTGTGATGATATCTTCAATTATCTAACTTTAATGAATTCGTTTTGTAATTTTTGGTAAAAGTGATATTTTTGAATTCTTGTTGAAAACAGCAAGTCCCATTGCATTGATACTATACATATTGCTCATTTTCTAATGATATCTTCAGTTCTTTAATTGACAACGGAGCCAACAGGCTGCTTGTTTATTATTTTTCTCTCCAAAATTGTATTTAAGACTTGTTGCTGAAGTGAAGTTATGTCCATTTTGCCATAAATTGAGAAATTGTGGAAAAATACATAAAAATAAAGCACCAAAATGTTGGTGAGAATCAAATACGACATTCAAAAGGTCACTTTGGTGGTTGTCATAGAAGCGGGGTTGATTTCATTAACGATTCGTCAAGTTTAGAGTTTGCCCTGAAATGCCTCTAGTTATTTCAAAGACATCGGCTGACAAAGAGCATTGACTCTTGTATTTGACACATTGAGGATTTACACAAATGGGGCTGTCAGTTACAATCAGCGTTTTCAATATTTTTCAATACTCTGCATGTACCAGTCAAGATACATAATTTCCAAATGAGCTGAGTTATTCACTGATAGTTTTGTAATCTGCAAATGTTATATATTAGTCTAAGAGTACCTTCCTGTTCTCTTTGTTTGTTTCGTCCACGAATAAAAAAGCCTTAAATTGAATACGCATTATTAAAAGTACAATTCTTGCTGATTGACATGCATTCGTGGAAATTGTACAGAAATTTGTAAGTTTAGGAACAGCACCTTATGTACTTTTCATGGAAATGATCATTTCAGTCATGTTTTACATGAATGGTTGTGTCAGTCACGTTTCACATGAATGGTTGTGTCAGTCACTTTTCACATGAATGGTTGTATCAGTGACGTTTTACATGAATGGTTGTATCAGTGACGTTTCACATGAATGGTTGTGTCAGTGACGTTTCACATGAATGGTTGTGTCAGTGACGTTTCACATGAATGGTTGCGTCAGTGACGTTTCACATGAATGGTTGCGTCAGTCACGTTTCACATGAATGGTTGCGTCAGTCACGTTTCACATGAATGGTTGCGTCAGTCACGTTTCACATGAATGGTTGCGTCAGTCACGTTTCACATGAATGGTTGTGTCAGTCACGTTTCACATGAATGGTTGTGTCAGTGATGTTTCACATGAATGGTTGTGTCTGACGTTTCACATGAATGGTTGCGTCAGTGACGTTTCACATGAATGGTTGCGTCAGTCACATTTCACACGAATGGTTGTGTCAGTGACATTTCACATAAATGGTTGCATCAGTCACGTTTCACATGAATGGTTGTGTCAGTCAAGTTTCATGTGAATGGTTGTGTCAGTCACGTTTCACGTGAATGGTTGCGTTAGTCACGTTTCACATGAATGGTCGCGTCAGTCACGTTTCACACAAATGGTTTTGTCAGTGACCTTTTTACATGAATGGTTGTGTCAGTCATGTTTCACATGAATGGTTGCGTCAGTCATGTTTCACATGAATGATTGTAACAGTCACGTTTCACATGAATGGTTGCGTCAGTCAAGTTTCATGTGAATGGTTGTGTCGGTCACGTTTCACATGAATGGTTGCGTCAGTCATGTTTCACACAAATGGTTTTGTCAGTGACCTTTTTACATGAATGGTTGTGTCAGTCATGTTTCACATGAATGGTTGCGTCAGTCACGTTTCACATGAATGGTTGTGTCAGTCATGTTTCACATGAATGGTTGTGTCAGTCATGTTTCACATGA